GGGCAGCTTCTCAGCCTATATCCTATATTCCCACTTCCTCTTCTCCTGGGCTGTGGGATTTTTGACCTGCATCCCCCACTATACAAATGTGTTCCATCTCTACAAATGTCAGGGCCTCATCTCTGTGCTCTCCCCTTCCCCACATCCCACCACCTAAGTCCCATCTTTGCTCCACCTCAGGTGCCTACTGCTGCCTCTGCATTATCACTGGAGCTGCAAGAAGTGGAGCCTCTGGGGCTACCCCAGGCTTCCCCCAGTCGCACCCGCTCCCCGGATGTTATCTCCTCAGCTTCCACTGCCCTGTCCCAGGACATCCCTGAGATTGCATCTGAGGCCCTGTCTCGTGGTTTTGTCTCCTCTGCTCCTGAGGGCCTTGAGCCAGACAGTATGGCCTCAGCTGCCTCAGCGCTACACCTGCTGTCCCCACGGCCCCGACCAGGGCCCGAGCTCGGCTCTCAGCTTGGCCTGGATGGAGGCCCTGGGGATGGGGATCGGCATAGTACCCCTTCCCTTTTGGAGGCAGCCTTGACCCAGGAGGCCACAGCCCCTGACAGTCAGGTCTGGCCTACGGCACCAGACATTACTCGTGAGACCTGCAGCAGCCTGGCAGAGAGGTGAGGAGCCTGGCAGGAGAAAGTGTGCTGGTGGTAGGGGTTTCAGATAGAATCATCCACTGTTGAGCCGGCATGTCCCTTCAGTCCCAGGAATGGCCTCCAGGAGAAGCACAAGAGCCTGGCCTTCCACCGACCACCTTATCACCTGCTTCAGCAACACGATAGCCAGGATGCCAGTGCTGAGCAAAGGTAGGTGCTACCCTACACTATTCGTCTCATGGGGAGGGCCAGTAAGTGGGCCGGTGCTTTATCTTTCTCTCTCCCCTTCCTATAGTGACCATGATGACGAGGTGGCCAGCCTTGCCTCTGCTGCCGGGAGCTTTGGCACCAAAGTTCCCACTCCACGGCTGCCAGCCAAGGACTGGAAGACCAAGGGATCTCCTCGAGCCTCACCCAAGCTTAAGAGAAAGGGCAAGAAAGATGACGGGTAGGGGGTGGGGTCCTGGGGCCTGGGAGAGGGGTGGTCCCCAGGCTGCCATGCCTGACGTGGCCTGAGGTGCTTCTTGTCCATGGTAGGGATTCGGCTGTGGGATCCCGGCTCATGGAGCACCAGGTAAGTGAAATAACACCTTTTGTATTTCTGGGACTCCTCCCTATGAGGATGGGAAGGGCTCTGGGCCATTCCTTGGTCTGGTGAGTGAGAATGTATGGGCAGAAGCACCTGATTGTCGGTGCTCCTGGCAGGTGGCAGAACCTCCTGAAGACTGGCCAGCACTAATTTGGCAACAGCAGAGAGAGCTGGCAGAGCTACGGCACAGCCAAGAAGAATTGCTGCAGCGTCTTTGCACCCAGCTTGAAGGCTTGCAGAGCACCGTCACAGGCCACGTAGAACGTGCACTAGAGTCAAGGCACGAGCAAGATCGTATCCTTATGGGTTGTCGCCAGGCATGGCACAGGGGTCGGGGTAGGAGCAACATTCTTGGCCCTGGAAAGGGATGTAGGACCCACTTTGGGCCTATTCCTTAGCTACAACACAGAGCGGCGGCTGGAGCGGGCACTAGCTGAGGGGCAGCAGCGGGGTGGGCAGCTGCAGGAGCAGCTGACACAACAGCTCTCCCAGGCACTGTCTTCAGCTATAGCCGGACGGCTAGAGCGTAGCATACGGGATGAGATCAAGAAGACGGTGCCTCCATGTAAGTTTTTCATGGAGACTTCAGGGTGGGCCAGGTGGGAGTGGGGCTTCCTATCTGTCAAGCTGCCTTTCATGGCTCTACCTGTTCCTCCTCACCCTGCCCCAGGTGTTTCCAGGAGTCTGGAGCCAGTGGCAGGCCAACTGAGCAACTCGGTGGCCACCAAGCTCACAGCTGTGGAGGGTAGCATGAAAGAGAATATCTCCAAGCTACTAAAGTCCAAGGTGCTGTAGGGCCCCAGATGAGAAAGGTTGGTGGGTGGTGGGCCAGTTGATGAGCCCAACTTGGGCTCAGCCTTTCAACTCAGCTTTCTCTCTGCCTCCAGAACTTGACAGATGCCATTGCCCGAGCAGCTGCAGACACATTACAGGGGCCTATGCAGGCTGCCTACCGTGAAGCCTTCCAGAGCGTGGTACTGCCAGCCTTTGAGAAGAGCTGCCAGGCCATGTTCCAGCAGATCAACGATAGCTTTCGACTGGGCACGCAAGAATGTGAGTGGGGTCATATGCTTCAGGGTGGGAGGAGCTGTCCCCCTTTCCCCCCTATCCTTCTCATGGCCCCTGTGGTCACCTCTCAGACTTGCAGCAGCTAGAGAGCCACATGAAGAGCCGGAAGGCACGAGAACAGGAGGCACGGGAGCCTGTGTTGGCCCAGCTTCGAGGCCTGGTCAGCACACTGCAGGGTGCCACTGAGCAGATGGCAGCCACTGTATCCAGCAGTGTTCGGGCTGAGGTGCAGCACCAGCTGCACGTGGCTGTGGGCAGGTGTGTGGGCAGGGTGCTGGGCAAGGTGGTGTGTTTGGCAAGCGCCAAACTGGACTTCTTATCTACCTACCTCCCTCACTTCCTTTGCAGCCTGCAGGAGTCAATTTTAGCACAGGTACAGCGCATCGTTAAAGGTGAGGTGAGTGTAGCACTTAAGGAGCAACAGGCCGCGGTCACCTCCAGCATCATGCAGGCTATGCGTTCAGCTGCTGGCACACCTGTTCCCGCTACACATCTTGACTGCCAGGCCCAGCAAGCTCATATTCTACAGCTGCTGCAGCAGGGCCACCTCAATCAGGCCTTTCAGCAGGTATGCCAGGTATTAGGTCCAGTTAAGGGTCAGGTGTCTCCTGACAAGGCCTACATACCATATTCTACCTGTCAGGCTCTGGATAGTCTGGCCCCACTAGGCTCTTCTTGGTTCTCTTTGGCCTTTCTGACCATTTCCCCTTCTTTCCCCTCTGTTTGGTTCCAGGGTCTTTCTACCTCAGTCTACCTTGCTTCATGACCACCCTTCTAAGGAAACCTTTCCTGATCCCTTAAAGTAACAACATAACATAGCCCTATGTTACTGTCTCTGGGCCCCTGGGCATCCCCCTCTGGTACCCTCAGTGCCCTACCCTGGTCATTGTTTCCCTGGCCGCACAGCCAGACGAGCAGGTATTCCATTCTGATGTTTGCTGTAAACACTGTTCTTATTCTAGGCCCTGACGGCTGCCGACCTGAACCTGGTGCTGTATGTGTGTGAAACTGTGGACCCAGGGCAGGTTTTTGGGCAGCCACCTTGCCCACTCTCCCAGCCTGTGCTCCTTTCCCTCATCCAGCAGCTGGCCTCTGACCTTGGTACACGAACTGACCTCAAGCTCAGGTGAGCGAATTTGGATCAGGGGACAGGCTAGGGTGGAAGTGGGGGAGCAGTTCAAAGCAGAGACTTCTGCCTGACTCTGCTTTCTAATTTTTTCCACCTCTGTCCCCACCATCTCAGGCTTTGAGGCCCCCCCTTGTCAGCAGTCCCTCTGGGCCTCAGTGCCACCAGGGGGCGCTCCGATTTGCTGGAGCCCACCTGTATCCTGTCCTTTTCTTCCACCACAGCTACCTGGAAGAGGCTGTGATGCACTTGGACCACAGTGACCCCATCACTCGGGACCACATGGGCTCTGTCATGGCCCAGGTGCGCCAGAAGCTCTTCCAGTTCCTGCAGGCTGAGCCGCACAACTCACTTGGCAAAGTGGCCCGGCGTCTCAGCCTCATGTTGCTTGGCCTTGTAACCCCTAGCCTCCCTTAGCTAAACCTGCTTTGCCCAGGGGTGGGGGTTGAGGGGTCGCTGAAGGCCAGCAGACAGGGTTAGGCCAGTGTCTGCCCTTTTACCTGCTTAGGCTCCCACCTCTGGTGTGTTTGAGGGGAGAGCGCTGGCTGTGGTCTACAGGTTGTGGTAGCCGGCAGATTTTGGCTGAGCCCAGGGTGGGTATTGTGCCTTCTTGGGTTCTGCCATGCCTGGAACATGACCCCTGAGATCATGACACCACTTGTGTTGAATTTTCCATATTCCTTTTTACCTCCGATTTGGATCTTTTTGTTTTTGAAAAATTGAGAAATTCAATTAAATGCTTTTGGAATAAAATGGAGTATGTGTGTGCTTTTGGTGTAACTTCCCTGCGTGGAGTTCTGTCTAGGCTAACCCAGGTGCCTGGACACCCGCCCTCATCTGCACAACTGCCTTCCCAGAAACCCCTCCATCTCTGAAACAAAGGTCCTGGGGTCATCTCTACAACCCTGTGTCCCTGGTTCTTCTCTCTCCGGTCCCTCCCCTCCTTTGCCAATCTCGGTACTGGGGCGGGGCCGCCAGCTAGCTGGCTTTGGGCCCCGCCCCCAACTCCCATCCAATCACAGGCCATTCTTCTGGGGGCTGGGCCGAAGGGCTGCGTTTCCAAGCTGCTAGCTCAAGCACTAGGCTCCCAGCCGGGGATGATGCGCAGCTCTTGCTCCTGTCACCACCGCCAGCAACTGCCCCGACCGTCCGGTGTGCTGGGGCTGTTGCTGCTGCTGCTACCGCTTGGTGAGTGCTGGAGTGGGGACCCAGCTTGGCAGCTGGGCGTCACACCCTTTCCCCAGTCTGGGTATAGGGTGTGTGGGAGCTGTGCCTCAGCTGTGCCGAGAACCAGGCTGCAGAGGAGGTGCGAGGGCTCCAGAGAGGGGATAATGTGTGCCAGTAGCTTCAGGATGCAAAATGGGCATAGACTGAGGCCTAATTGTGGGGGAAGGGTCCTGAAATTCCACAGCCCCCATTCCGATAAATGGAGACATAGGCTCTGATGGGACTCCTAGACCAGCTGTAGGACCCCTGAGGTCCTCTTTTAGGGTCTCACCTAGATCCTGACCCCGGTATTCTGCTCTGCCTGGCTGTAAACATCTGTCTTTGGAGATAGGGTGGGAAGGCCAAGTGAAGTTTATCTAGACTGCAGGACAATTTGGGGAGCCTTATAGCACTGGACTCTGCCCCTCTTCTCTGTGTCCTGACTCCTTCACTTGGAAAATACTTACCTGGCCTGCAGCCCTAGAAGCTCAAAGGTGGAGTCAGCCCCTTGGGATGAGACACCTTCCTCCTCTCTACATATCCTGTCCCTGTTGCATCTGGAGGGGTGGTGTCAATGCAGGTGATCCCCAGACATGCCCCTTGGTTCCCTTGGGTGCCTCTGTTTCACGCTGAGTCATGTCCCCGGAGCACATCCAGGTAAACAAGCTCTTGGGGGCTTGGCGGGGAAGGGGAGCGAGGCGGCTCATCCTCTCAACCATTCTCTACCCCCACCCCTAGTCCTTGTATCTCCTCTGGCAGCAGCTGCAACAGGCCCAGGGGGCTGTGACACCATATACCAGGGCTTTGCTGAGTGTCTCATCCGCTTGGGAGACGGCATGGGCATCGGAGGCGAGCTGGAAACTGTCTGCAGGTAAGGGCAGGTGTGAAGACAGCCGCCTGATCACCAGACTCCCACCACCACCCTTGGGGCCCGAACCTTTTCCTTCCCATTGGAAAAGCCTCTTTGCCCCAGCTAATGACCCTAACCCCAAGCCTTTAACAGGTCTTGGAATGACTTCCACATCTGTGCCTCCCGAGTCCTGTTGCGCTGTCCGGAGGAGGCTGCCGCCGTGTGGGAGTCACTGCAGCAAGAAGCTCGCCGGGCCCCACACCCAGATAACTTGCATGCTCTGTGTGGCACCCCTGTGCGCATTAGGGAGCGTGGCACAGGCCCTGAGACCAACCAGGAGACGCTGCAGGCAACAGCATCTGCACATAGCCCAGCCCCTGCACCCCCACTGCTGGCAGCTGCTCTGGCACTCGCCTGCCTCCTGGGGCCTCTGGCCTAGCCAGTCTGGTGGAATGGCGGCACCCCCTGCCTCCTACCCTGCTCTGGTGGCTGCTGCCGGGGCTCTGCAGAGTACCCCTGGCTTTCATTAAAGGCATTTATATTTGTACTAAGCTCCTTCCATTCTTCTGTCTATAGCCTGCTTGGCTGGGGAGGAGGCCTCCAGAAGCTGATCCCTAGGACTGGATGGGCAGGGCCCATGGCTGCCACAAGGGACTCAATCTTTCTACTTACAGACACTCATTTCCCAGGGCTGGCTGTGTAAAGCTTTCCATTGTTTGCAGGTTCCAAGAGCTCTGGTGGTGGCCTGAAATCTGCCGGAATGCATAGCCTTCCTCTGTTCTCCCAGGCTGGCATTCCTACTACTCCTGCCCACCCATCCTATCCTGGCCTTTATAGGCAACGTGAGAGGGTGGAGTATACTACCTCACCCCCAAATGCCTCAAAGCAGTCCACCCCTATCCCACATTCAAGCTTTCACATTCCTCCCATGCCGTCTCCTCCCTCTGGTAATTACCACCTTAGCCTTCGAGATAGATTAAGTGCCCTGTCCTCTCCCTCTCTGGGGTCCTGATCTACTTGAGAGGAGCCTGTTCCAGAAAGTGGGGAGTCCCTGTTGGGGTCTGTATTCAAGTTCCTGAGGTGACCTGGAGCTGCAGAAACTGGGGTCATGATGAGGATTTCTCTGGACTCTACTCAACCTTGTTCTTTGAGAAGAGGTATACAGTGTGAAGTCAATCCCAGAAGACTTTCTGGAAGCATGGAATGAGCATGTGGTGTGTGAGGAGCCCCGGTCTACTCTGGTGAAGAGGAAGAATCTGCATGGGCAGAATCCTGAGGAAAGGAGGAGTCCTCAGAGAGGGTGAGACCCTCTCTGTCTTCTACCACCACCCCATGACTTGTATGGGCAGTGCCACGAACTCACTAACTTCTGCTCACACTCCCTCCTCTTTATTCACCATTTTTTAAAATTGAGAATCTATTCTGGTGTTAAGCTCTTTTTCATTCTATGAGGCCCTCATTCTGTGAGGCCCTGCATAAGCCAGCTCTGCCCACAGTTGATTCAGTCTACCTCTGCGACTCCCTCCTGTCTGAGCATGGAACAGCGATGTGCCTACCTAGTCCTTGACATCAGGGGAGGCTTTAGGGAAGGCATGTGATGGGGATGATAGAAGAGGTCAGAATGGATGGGGCTGAGTTGGACGGGGTTTTGTAAGAGGGGCCCAGAAGAATCAGGGTTGACATTAAGAGCTTGGCAGACTAGGAATATATTAAAGCCCATGCTGGGAAGCTATTGTTCCCAGGACAGAATCCGGGCCGAATTGAACCATCGTTTGGCTCCAGGGTGAAAGGTGCCTCGAGAGACATCCATTCTCACGTGTAGGATCCCTCCTTCATCCATGCTTCCCAAACACCCAGTTAGCTCAGAGACTCAATCAGCTCTCTCTGCCCTACCTTTACTTCTGTGCTTCATTCACCTGTACTTTTATCTCTACTTCTGTCTCCCAACCAGTCATTACCCATCTTCTCACATCACTTGAAGGAGAAAGTTCAGGAGAAAACTCCTTCCACAACTGTCCCCCTTTGACCACCAGAATTTTCCAGAAGCAAATGCCAGCCTTTTATTCCCTTGGGTCTTTGTACATTTATTCTCTGTACTCAGAACATCCTTTCCCATATCCTCCTGGTAAACTCCTTTTCTTGTTCAGTATCACCTCCTTCATAACCCTGACTCCAAGCTGAATCAGAAGCCTCCCACATAGCCACACAGCTCTCCAGCTGTCTTCTGTCTCAATACTGGTAACAGTGACTTGCTACGATCTGGGTCTGGGTCAGAATCTTTCACTCTTTATGTCTCTAGCACCCAGTTTCAGGCTGGGTATAAAGGGTGCACTTGTAGAAGTGTGAGAATGAAAGAATTTCTAAGCCTAGCATAGAAAGTGTTTTATCAGTAAGAGCTTGGATGGAGAATGACCTCAGCATGGAGGATTTGGGGCAGCCCCCTTACTGAGCCTGGGCATAGTTTGGGAAGGATATGATGCTGGGAATCCAAACCCCAAAAGTCTTCTCAAAGCCACTGTTGATGGGTGGCCAGGAGTAGGGGCCCATCTGTGTTGGCCAGTCATCAGAGGGATTACTATCCTCCTGCTGTGTCCTACTTTCCCCTGGTTTTTGCTCCCTAAGTCCTTGCTCTTCCCCGGAATTGAATGACCTGGAGTGTGTGCATGGGGCTGGGGATAGAATCTGCTTTCTGGCCACGGGCTTAAGAGCTTTGTATGTTTTATCCCAGAGCTGGAGGAGAGGGGCGGGCTGATAGGCAGACTGGGCCCCAGACACATCTGCTCTTCCCAGAGCATCATGGTGATGATGTGTCTTACATTTACAGCTCTGTGGCCATGGAAAAGCTTGTTGTTCAGGGTAGAGGCTTGGGGCTGAATGTCTTGAGCGGAGTCCCTCTGTATCAACATACCTCTTCATTTCAGGGCCCTGTGATCTTTACCAGAGCCCAGACCAGCACCTTCTAGTAACCAGGGCTCAATAAATACTTGTTGAATTAATTTGCTTAATGTCTGTAAAACTGGGGTGTTGTGTGGATTTCTAAGCCTCATCAACCCTAGAATTCCATATTATTTTTTTAAAGTTTATGGGGGCACCTGGGTGGCTCAGTTGGTTAAGCGTCCGACTTCAGATCAGGTCATGATCTCACAGTTCGTGGATTTGAGCCCCGCATCAGGCTATGTGCTGACAGCCAGCTCAGAGTCTGGAGCATGTTTCAGATTCTGTGTCTCCCTCTCTCTCTGCCCCTCCCCTGTTCATGCTCTCTCTCTCTCTCTCTCTCAGAAATAAAGAAAAACGTTTTTTAAAAAGTTTATTTATTTATTTTGGAGAGAGAGAGAAAGCAGGGGAGGGGCAGAGAGAGAGGGAAAGATAGAATCCCAAGCAGGTTCCTCACTGTCAGCACAGAGCCCAATGTGGGGCTCGATCTCACAAATCGTGAAATCATGACATGTGCGGAAATTAAGAGTCAGACACTTATTTTTTTAATTAAAAATTTTTAAATGTTTACTTCTTTTTGAGAGACAGAACACAAGTGGGGGATGGGCAGAAAGAGAGAGGGAGACACAGAATCCTAAGCAGGCTCCAGGCAGTGAGCTGTCAGCGCAGAGCCTGATGCAGGGCTAGAACCACAAGATCATAACCTGGACCACAGTCTGATGTTTAACCGACTGAGACACCCAGGTGCCCCATAGAGTTCCATATTACTTTTAACCTTCACAACAACTCTCTGGAGTCAGGATTATGATCCCCATAAAACAAGAAAAATGAGGCTTAAGGAGGGGAGATGTCTTGCCCAAGGTCACACAGCTGTGGAAGTATCAGAGCTTGGGACATGATTCCAGGTTTTTTAGCCCCAAAGTCCATGCCCTTAATTATCACACTAGACTTTTGGAAGTGATTCTTTTTGCGAGGGAGGAGAGGAGTGATTTTTAAAGTTTTTTTTTAATTGAATTTTTATAGCTTAAAACAATGTTTATTTATTAGAGAGAGAGAGCTCTCGCAGGGGAGGGGCAGAGAGAGAATCCCAAGTAGGCTCTGTGCTGTCGGCAGAGCCCCACTTGGGGCTCCCTCTTATGAACTGTGAGATCATGATCTGAGTCGAAACCAAGAATCAGGCACTTAACCAGCTGAGCCACCCAGGTGCCCTTTAAATAAAACTTTTATGAAACTCTACTGCATAAAACAAACCATGATGTTTTATTGGTGTTAATGTATTTTTAGGTTTAAAGTATAACATTGGCTTATTCAGTCAAAGACAATTGCATGTACGAAATAAATACTCAATATTTTAACAAATGAGCAGACTGAAATGAGGTAGATGGATGGAGGTTACAATTCCCTTATTACCTCTGGCATCTACTTTTTACCCCTGCAGTTTGAGTTTATTGTAAAGTAGTGAGATAATTCTGATCTTATAGAGGTCTTTTAAAAATTTTTAAATGTTTAATTATTTTTTAAGAGAGAGAAAGACAGAATACAAGCAGGGTAGGTGCAGAGAGAGGGAAACCGTCGGAAGCAGGCTCCAGGCTCTGAGCTGTTAGCAAAGAGCCCGTCATAGGGCTCGAACTCACCGACCACGAGATCATGACCTGAGCTAAAGCTGAACTCTTAGCTCAAGTTGAACTCTTAACCGACTAAGCCACCCAGGTGCCCCTTATAGAGAAGTCTTAATGGTATCTTTTTTTTTTTTAATCTACTTGATTTGCAAAGTCTCAGGATACACTTAAATAACAACAAAAATTAAAACAAAAAAATCATTACTCCGAAATTAGTGCAAGACTGACTTAACCTTCATCAATCCTCAAGTTAATCATTTTCAAATCCACTGTGATGAAAGCCAAATTTAACACTTCTGAGTGCCTAAATTACTTTAATTGTAGTTATAATTCTTTTATTTGTTAATGAAATTTAAAACGATCCTTAGCGGAGTTCCAGAGGCACCTCAGATACCTCTGTTGAAACGCACTACGTCCCCAGCCTCGCACTACAGAGCACCCTTCTTCCCTAACAAGAAATTTTTGACACTTTTCTCCCTTCCTCCCTAGGTACCTCTCGGTGCCTAAGGTCGAGCTACTTTAAGGGTTAACTTGACTCAACCGTCCAGGAGAGAGTAAGTCCCGACCCCGAAGTCGTTGATTGGCAGGCCACGCTGGGAGGGGCGCTATGCGCGTTGCTGGGCTCTCCCGAGGGTCCGCCCTCTCCTCGCCTCAGGGGCGGCCTGAGTTTGTTTTGGCGTAAAGCGCGCGCTGTGATGATGTCACGACGCTGACGCCTGAGGATGGCGGCGGCGGCGACCCTGTCCGCTGTCCGGAGAGGGTCAACACAGCCGCCGAGACGCCGAAGACCCCGCCGCCCGTGCTAGGTGAGGCGGCACGGCGCAGGGCGACGGCCCGACGGGCGGGAGGGGCTGACGACCTGCGGCTACGGTCGCTTCCTGGCGCACTGGGCCTATCCCTGCCCAGGTCGTAGCCCTCGGCAGGAGCCCAGTGTGCAGGGGCCTACGGGACTGGGGAACAGGCCAGGCGATGGCTGCTTGGGATCCCCGGTGTA